AACCAATAATTCCATGATTTTGCTTGGGTAATCCCTTTTAACGGTGAACTTCAGGTCACAACAGTAACTATCAGTTCAACTACACCAAGGTTTCCGAAGACAATGGCTTCTCCACCCAAGCAGGTTGTATATAAATTCCAAATAGAACCTGGCATCACCCTGAAGGAATTCTAACTTCACACTGTTGGGGAAGTTTACCAAGATGGCTTCAGAGTAGACTAACTTTACACAGCACATTAAAAAAAAGACATTTATTCAGCGTCACGATCAGACTATTACATTTAGCAATCAACAGCATGGGTGCAAAAAAAAAAAAAAATCTACATTAAAACCCTTTGTTGGAATGCTTTACACTTTCCACAGAACAGAAACTAAAATAACCTGTTATACAATTAGTCACAAATACAGTCCTCGAGTTTTTTGCCCATACACATGAGTATTTGTCTAAAACATGTCTTCTTTGTAGCAGCTAGGCCCTGCCACCACTGTGCTTGGCTGAGTTCACAAATCTGTTGTAACCTGTAGCTTCCCTGTCACTTCTCTGGCTCTCCTCTCCTGCTAAGCTTTGTTTCCTGTTGAACAATATGGAATAAAGTTGTTAATCTAAACATATTAAGACTCAAGGCTACAATCCAATATCAAGTTTGCTTCCCACAAATTTTGCTGATCTGAATATTAACTTTATATCCACAATTACTGCAATTATAATGTTAACTATGTTGCACTGCTCAGCTACATTAGGGTTATTGGGTTCATCAGCAATTTAAAAAATTATGTCCACACACAAAAAGGTGCTTACTTACCTAATTAAAATCTTCTGCCACTGCCATAGCTACTGCTGCTGCTGGAACCGCCATAGCCACCTGAAGAGTACAATTTTTCTTTTAAAGTTTCAAAGTGCCAACAGTAACACAATGTTTTCATAGTTGAGATAATAAAAGTTAAATTCAAGTGTCTGGCCATTTAAAAATGGCCCCTACTCCAAAGGAAGTGGTAAAGCAGTCCCATGACTTTTTAAATTTGTGATCAAATTATCACTTTCTGAAGGTTCTAAACTGTAAACGTTTTGCTGCCTAGACATAGCAGTTAAAGGGCTTTCTTCCCAGCAGCAGCTACAGATACAACTCTTTTGACATGATCCCAAATTACACAGATACCATACCTTGGTTTCGTGGTTTTGCAAAGTATTGACCTCCACCGCCATAGGGGCCAGAGCTTCTGCCTCCAAAATTTCCTCCCTTCATGGGTCCAAAATTTGAAGACTGATTGTTGTAATTGCCAAAATCATTGTAGCTTCCACCACCTCCAAAATTGCTTCCTATGAATGGGAAAGAGGGCCTTCGTCTGTTACCTGAGGATGATGCTAGTTTCCAATTCTGTTTAGTGGTCAGAATAAAATAAGGTTGAGTTATCTGCCTTCCTTTCTCCCAAACTATGGTGACTCCAATCTTTGCATTTCATTCTCTGGGAAAGGCATTCAGTTGAATAATCCAGTAATAAAAAGAAAACTGGCCTAACTCACCATGACATAAAATAAAGAGATTTTCATAGTGGCTCAAACATATTCTCCAGCCTTGAAGGCCTTCATGGATCCAGGGCCACAGCAAGCAGAAGTATCTTGGATACATCAACTAAGCGCCTAAGGTCCCAAAGGAGTTAAGATACTAAATCCTTCTATGATACTAATCTAACTCAAAGACAATACTATCCACTTATCTCTACTAATTGGGAGTGAGGCGGCCCCAGCTTAAAGCTAGGAGGAGGTAGCATAGCAAGCCCATTTGTTTTTAATATACCATGCAATGTACCATACAATGCTTTAACAGCACCAGAACCCAAGCTCTAAAAGGCTAATCTAGCTGTCACACCAAGTACTTGGATCACTGGATACCTACCACTACCACCGCCAAAGCCGCCTCCGCCTCCGTTGTTATAGCTGTCATAGCTGCCACTCCCGCCATAGCCACTGCCCTGGTTTCCATAACCCTGTCCACCACTTCCATAGCCTCTGCTTCCTCCAGAGTAACCAGGGCCGCCTCCTCCATAACCACCTACAAGAATACAATTCTTCTCAATAAGACAAAAGTATTTGACAATGAAAACGTGTGCAAGTGTAATGGCTGAAGGCCTGCTCACAGCATGCGTGTTATGGGCAAGGTTGAGTTTGTCATGCACCAGAATTTTAGTCTCTTATCAACCTATTCTAAAGATCCAGGTTGCCAGGATTTTTTCTCTACTTAGTCCTAAAAAACTTACCATCATTACCAAATCCATTATAGCCATCCCCACTGCCACCATATCCACCACCACCACGGCTGCCACCAAAGCCACCTGGAAGAAAAAGTTTCAAGTTTTAAGTATGACTTGCACTGAAAATGACATTCTAAATGCACTTCCCACACTGTAAAATCTACATAGCAAAGACGGTGTGACGTCAGAACTACACGTACATAAACCATACATACCACGACCACTGAAGTTTCCTCCACGACCGAAGTTGTCATTCCCACCGAAACCACCTCCACGACCACCACCAAAGTTTCCAGAACCACTTCGACCTTAAGAAATGAAGTTTACTTCATTCATACTGAAGTAACTCAAAGTTACCTTTAAGGTTTAATTAAGCAACAAACATACCTCTTTGGCTGGATGAAGCACTAGCCATCTCTTGCTTTGACAGGGCTTTCCTAACTTCACAGTTGTGGCCATTCACAGTATGGTATTTCTGAACTAAAAAAAATATAAATACATGGTCTCAGGGTTTAGAATGCCACATGGATTGTGGAACCCTTACTAAATGACACTATCGGATACTTACTGACAATCTTATCCACGGAGTCATGGTCGTCAAAGGTTACAAAGGCAAAGCCCCTTTTCTTGCCACTGCCTCGGTCAGTCATGATTTCAATCACTTCAATTTTCCCATACTGTTCAAAATAATCTCTTAAGTGATGTTCTTCGGTGTCTTCTTTAATGCCACCAACAAATATCTTTTTCACAGTTAAGTGGGCACCTGGTCTTTGAGAATCCTAATAGGAGGAAAACCACAGGTTTAGATTAGCAAACCCTATATTCAAATCAAAAATTGTTCTGGTAAGTTTAGAAAACTCCTGAATCTTAAGTCCATAGCAGCACATCTCTAAATGAGTTGAAGGGGGAAAAAAAAAAAAGAAACCCAACACAAAACAACTCACTTCTCTTGAGACAGCTCTCTTTGGTTCCACAACTCTTCCGTCCACCTTGTGTGGCCTTGCATTCATAGCTGCATCCACCTCCTCCACAGTGGCATATGTGACAAACCCAAAGCCCCTGGAACGCTTGGTGTTTGGATCTCTCATTACCTGAGAACAGTGTTAATTTATGTAACAAAGTCTGACCGCAGAAGCTTTTGTCATTTTAACTTTGAATAGGGCAATAGGAAACTTTATACCAGCCTTTTATGAAAAGCGGTCCAGTTTCCCACTACCCTAGATTTAACAGGTAGCTTTTAAAATCAAAGCAGAATATTCCTTTGTCGACAAAGCTCTAACCATAATGCTACTAACAACTTTCATAAGCATTCAGAGAGGACTGCACCAAGATATGCCAAGGAAATCTCGGCTATTTTACTGCTTTGTCCCAATTCTTACCACACAGTCCGTGAGCGTTCCCCATTGCTCAAAATGGCTCCTCAGGCTCTCATCGGTTGTTTCAAAGCTCAACCCTCCAATGAAGAGCTTCCTCAGCTGTTCGGGCTCTTTAGGAGACTGGAGTGGGGGAAGGGGGAAGTGTTAAATGAACTACAACACGAAACAATTTCCATCAAGGAAAAGAAAAACTAGACACCAACTGTGTACCTAGCACTTATTGTTTGTTCAGGTCGCAACAGGCCACGTGCTTCTCCCCACCAAGGGAGGCAGTATGCTGGGGGTTGGGAGTGCTGGGAAATCGCAAGCGCATGCGTCTCTAGTCGTCTTCCGACGCACGCGCAACAAAGGCTTGGGCGGGAGGGGTGCATCTCCATAATGGGACTAACCGCTCTTCAGAAATCTCGCTCACCAAGGCAAGGTTTAAAAAAAGACAAAGATCCTGTGTGCCTAAGAATTTTGCTACGAGTAGCGAGTCCCGCGTGATAACTCGTGGTTGGCGGAGAGCGGCCTCATGGCGATCAAGAGGACAAAATGGCGACTTGAACTTTGGGAGGGGTAGGCCTTGGCAGCGACCGAAGTTAACTGTAGAATCGGCTGGTGCAAGGAACGAAACCAAGCCGCATCTTACCGATTCAGAAAAGTGAGACGAAAAACATTCAAGTTGGAAAGCTCGCCTAACTCACCTCTGACTTAGACATGACGGCAGGGAGAAGAGAGACTTTAACGATGCTTCTTCGGCGGCGTCCACGGGCAGAAAGGAGCAAGCTGACGAACGTATCTGCCAGCCTACCTTCGGCCTCTCTTTTTTACCCCGCCTCCTCGCTTTCGGCATTGGTAGACTCCGCCCTGGAACAGCTCTGATTGGACATTTGAAATCGCTTCCCCTTGCTATTGGCCTGTGGTGCCACATTGCTGTGTAACGTCATTCCTTTGGGCGTTCTACGCGTCTCCACCCCTTGGAGTCAATTGGTTCTCGAGTAATATTACTGTTAACCAGTCTGATTGGCCAACCGACCAATCATTCATGTTTGAATCTACCTGGGGTGTTTAACGCCTTTTTCATCTTCCACGCGTAAATATTACAGTCAAGTCGCTTGGCAAAGCATGATTAACACTATGTATTAGACAAGCAGCCAGGAGGTCACAGTTTTTTTGCAAAGAACGCTTGTTGACCGCACGTGTAGCAAAATGGCGAATTTTGCGCAGGCGCATTAAGAAGTTCCACCTGCCTCTGGGAACACGTGAAATGGCGGGCAGGACTAGGCAGTGAACCTACGGCGCCTGCGTGTTGGCGGGAGTTGGTTCTAGCTTTGCGCATGCGCAGTGGGCGGAGAAAAAAGGTCCGGTCCCAGGATTGGTTGCGCAGGCGCAGGGAAGGATCCGTTTTGGCGGGCGGTTGGCGTTGCGCAGAAGGCGGCGGCGGTGGTGGCTAGTGGTGCGGCCTCACCAAACAGGAACAGGGCAGACGTTAGCGTGAGTGATCACTCTCAATCCCGGGTAAGTGGCAGACAGTCTTATCTACCCATAGTAGGTCTTGAACTGACTCCATTTGGGCCCGTTATTGTGTGAAATGAATGGACCGCGGGGTGGGGGATAGTCAAGGGGCAGCGGTGGATCGGGTCAACCAATAGAAGAACAGGGGGCGGGATGTTTTAATCCCTGTAGGTTCTTGGGAGCTGTGCAGCCGAAGACTTTGACTGGCTTGTGTATAGGCCAATTGGGTGTGCCTTGAGCTGCCGACTGATCGGCCCTTGGGCCATCGGAATGTGGGAGATGGGTTTTCCCCTTCTGAGCAGCGTCTCACTGAGCCAGTGAGCAGGAAGCGCGCGGTAGGTTGGGCTTCTCCAGGAGGCAGCGGTTTGACTCCAATGGGGAATGCGGGATCGGGCGGTTAAACGGATGGAACGAATCTGGAGCCAGTAGACGGACAGCCTAAGGAAAGCACTGGGACCAGTCGTCCAATCGGCTCTCCAAAAGAGAGAGGTCTTCGATTTGGGGTTGTGAGGAAGGGGAGTCGGTGCCTGTAATGGCGTGTGAGGATGAATGTTTTATCCACAATGACTTTTCTAATGTTCTAACGGAGCCTTTAGGCCTCAGTCCCATACACCTCCCTGAAGCCTAAGTTTCCTCGTGTATTCCTCGACTTGACCATTTTTCCCCCGCCTCCTCACCACTTGAGGTTTGGGGAACAGAGGAGGTTTTTGTTTGTTTTTTTATAATACTTTCAGAAGTCGCTTCTTTAGGAAGACTGTTAAAATGTTAGAACGAATAGGAGAAATCTCTATATCCTGATAGTGCATATTTCCACGAACAATATGTTTGTAGGTCCATAGAAAAGTTTTCCAAAGCTACACACCAAAGTGTGTCAGTCCTAGGGACACAGTAGGATCGAGGCAGGCTGGTTCTTTAATGTTTAAAACTTTGCAAGATTAATGATTTGTGATTAAAATTAAATAAAAAATGAAGTCAATTGTTTTGTGTTTCTAATCATAATCACATACTTACCACCCTTTTTCTGATTTATATAATCCATGTGCCCAGTGCTTTTATTTTAGTCTCTTTCTCCCGGGAACTTTCCCTCTCATACATTTCCTTTCTTTACACCATTAAAGATATCCTAAAACCCCTCATTTTGATGTTCATTTGAGGATATCTGACTTTGGATTAAAAAAGAAACGCTTAAAGAGGGTAATATTTAGGGTTCTGGGGACAGAAGACTCATCCATCACCTGGATTATTCCTTGCCTTTTAATTAGATTTCCTTCGAAGTGTGTTTTACATGCAGTCTATCTCCTTTTGGTAATGCCCCCTCTGCTTATTCCAGGATCTTTTGGAGAAATAAATAAATTTTGATAACATTGGCTGTATCAGAGTCTTACTGCTTTGTTCAATAATTCAGGATCAAGGGAAAATACTTAAATACTGAAAATCAACTACCTATGAAGTACACTTATGACTAGAGACCTTTCCGACTTTATACCAAAGACAAACGATTTTAATAGCAGTTTATGAACAGAGGAAAAATTTCCATGTTCTCTGGCACTAGCAAAAGGATAAAGTATTTATATATAGTTTATCCCTGGTTTTAAACCTATTTGTAGGTATGCTAGTAATGGGGTTGCTGAGCTTCTGAGAACTAAAGTGATACTGGTTAAGGGTATCTGTCCTGGATTTATTTAGGTTTGAAAGGAATACAGTCTTAACCTGCAGCAAGATTTCTCAGCATTAGCACTGTTGATATTTTGAGGCAGATAATAATTCTTTGTTAAGGGTATTCGGGGTGTCCTGTGCATAGTAAAATATTTAGCAAAATCCCTGGCTTCTACCCACTGTATGCCAGTAACATCGCACCTCTCGCCACATCCCCATTTGTGACAATCAGATTGTTAACAGACATTGCCAAATGTCCGGAGAGGTAGGGATCGGGGATAAAATCTCCCTCGGTTGAAAATCATTCTCCCAAAATTCTGGAGTATGCAGGGCACAGTTTCGTGTTCCTGTAGTCCCAGCTACTATGGAAGCTGAGGCAGGAGGCTTGAGCTCAGGTGGTCAAGGCTGCAGTGTGAAATGATTATGCCTGTGAATAGCCACTGCACTCGTCTGGGCAGCACAACAAGATCCCATTGCTAAAAAATAAAAATAAAATGCTAGAGTTTATTATTTTTTCAAAATCCATTATTTTACCAATTGGAAAATAGGTAAAAGTGAGAGAAGATGGTTGAAGTGTTTAGGGAGTGGCCTTTGGTAAATGGATCGCTAAATCCTGATGTTTATCTCCTTAGATACAGAATTGATCATTGTTCCATTTGATAAAAGGAAATTTTTATTAAAATTTTTACCACTTGATCTGGTGCCAGTGGCTTACGTCTGTAATCCCAGCACTTTGGGAGGCTGAGGTGGGCGGGTCACTTGAGGCCAGGAGTTTGAGACCAGCCTGGCCAACATGGTGAAACCCGTCTCTACTAAAAACACAAAAATTGGGCCGGGCGCAGTGGCTCATGTCTGTAATCCCAGCCCTTTGGGCGGCCGAGGTGGGTGGATCACTTGAGGTCAGGAGTTCAAGACCAGCCTGGCCAACATCGTGAAACCCGGTCTCTACTGAAAATACAAAAAAATTAAGTGGGCGTGGTGGCAGGTACCTCTAATTCCAGCTACTCGGGAGGCAGAGAGAATTGCTTGAACCCGGGAAGCGGAGGTTGCAGTGAGCAGAAATTGCACCACTGCACTCCAGCCTGGGTGACAGAGCGAGACTCCGTCTCAAAACAAAAAACAAAAACCCCCGCAAAAATTAGCCAGGCATATTGGTGGGCACCTGTAATCCCAGCTACTCAGGAACCTGAGATGGGAGAATCGCTTCAACCTGGAGGCAGAGGTTGTAGTGAGCCAAGATCGTGCCACTGCACCCCAGCCTGGGTGACAGAGTGAGACCTTGTCTCAGGAAAAAAATATTTACCACTTTTTGCAACTTAAACTTACACATATGATTGATTGCATCTTGTCCTTGTTTGGCTTCCTAAAATAACGGCAAATATGTTTTTGAAGAAGGTAGACTTTGCCTCACATCCGTCTTTTTCACTTGATTCTAGCTAGCCTCTTTACTGGGATTCTTTACTGGGATTCTTTTGGATCCACGTTTCAAAACTTTTTTGACTTCAGTAAGAAATGTATTTTACAGTAATCCTGTACACACATTGAAACAGATTTCACTAAACAAACGTGCAGAGCACTCTGATACTCTTTTGTCTGCAGTATACTATTTCATTGTCTTAAGAAAGCAGTCAATTTCCACCGAACTGATTTCGCAGCTGTTTATAGACCCAGAGTTTTGGGGGAGAAAAGACTGCTGATCTGAACAATAGGTCACCAAATCATGCCACCTTTGATTACTTTCGGAGTCAGTTCCTTCCATCTCCAGCCCCAGCCCCTTGTACAGATGGTCCCTTACTTGTGATATTTCGACTTAAGATTTTTTCACTTTTACAATGGTGTGGAAAACAATTTCCTTTCAGTAGAAACCATACTTCAAGTATCCACATAACCATTCTGTTTTTCACTTTCGCTACAGTAATCAACCAATTACATGAGATATTCAACACTTTATTATAAAATAGGCTTTGTGTTAGGTGATTTTGTCCAACAGTAGGCTAATGTAAGTATTCCGAACACATTTAAGAGTAGGCTAGGCTAAGCTATGATGTTCGGTAGGAACACCTTAGGTGTAGGAAATGAATTTTCAATTTTTCGTATTTTCAACCTGTAAGTCAAGGAGTATCTAAACAGATTAAGCAGTGACCTGTTACTTGGTGTTTTTACTCATGTGTTTTACTTTGAAAGATTATAGGAGCCGCCGGGCGCGGTGGCTCAAGCCTGTAATCCCAGCACTTTGGGAGGCCGAGACGGGCGGATCACGAGGTCAGGAGATCGAGACCATCCTGGCTAACACAGTGAAACCCCGTCTCTACTAAAAATACAAAAACTTAGCTGGGCGAGGTGGCAGGCGCCTGTAGTCCCAGCTACTCGGGAGGCTGAGGCAGGAGAATGGCGTGAACCCGGGAGGCGGAGCTTGCAGTGAGCTGAGATCAGGCCAATGCACTCCAGCCTGGGTGACAGAGCGAGACTCCGTCTCAAAAAAAAAAAAAGAAAGATTATAGGAGCCAAGCCGAGACTTTCTAGTTTACTGTGGTGTGCAAGTGAAAATTGCTTGTTTTATTGTGAAGTCTCACAGTGCTTAAAGAGGGAAAACAATAAAAATATTGCAAAATCTCTCACAATGTGATAGGGTTTTTTGTTTGTTTGTTTGTTTGTTTTGAGACGCTCTTGTTGCCCAGTCTGGGGTGCAATGGCGCGATCTTGCCTCACCTCAACCTCTGCCTCCCGGGTTCAAGCGATTCTTCTGCCCCATCCTCCTGAGTAGCTGGGATTACAGACGTGTGCCACCACGCCCTACTAATTTTTAGTAGAGACAGGATTTCTCCATGTTGGTCAGGCTGGCCTCGAACTCCTGAACTTAGGTGATCCGCTTGCCTTGGCTTCCCAAAGTGCTGAGATTACAAGCGTGAGCCACTGTGCCCAGCCTCTAATGTGATAATTAATAGATATGATGAATTTTTCACTCTGGTGGTGAAATTTTAGTGGGTAATTTTTCATTGAAATTCTGGGAATCTCACAGAGTTAGAAATCCTAACTTCCAGTGTGATATGTGTTGGGCCTCCAATTACAAAAGTTACAGCATTTGTGCTTAGAACTTAGAGACATACCGGCTGGGTGCAGTGGTTCATGCCTGTAATCCCAGCACTTTGGGAGGCCGAGGCAGGCGGATCATGAGTTCAGGATTGAGACTATCCTGGCTAACATGGTGAAACCCTGTCTCTACTAAAAATACAAAAAATTAGCCAGACGTGGTGGCGGGCGCCTATAGTCCCAGCTACTCTGGAGGCTGAGGCAGGAGAATTGCTGAACCTGGGAGGCGGAGGTTGCAGCGAGCCGAGACTCGGCAC